CAAGCATTTATGCACAAAACAAACTACTTACATAAGTATTAGCCATGCATCCCCAGGTGCCCTCAGTACAATTTCATTCTCCTCTCTCCCCCACCCACTGCACTGAGTTAGCCTGTTATGTAGTTGGGGTGGAGGGAGACTGTTTTGAAGTGGAGGTTGTTAGCTCTGGAAGCTTGGTAAGGTGGACCCAGGGATTTTTGGGAATGGATAAGCCTAACATGCCAATGGCCTTGTTGTTAAGTGCATGTTGACTCTCCTTGGGTGCCTGAATGTCTATGTGTCGAAGGGGGGTATGCAGGGTGGAGGTGAATTGGATTTTACAATGTGTCATTGTGGAACTCATGCTCGTTAGCCTGGGGTTACTGGATTAATAGATCAGTGACTTTTACCTCTACGCCACCACCTCCCCTTTGTAGTTTTGTGCTGTCTGCAAACTTGGCTATAGTACATTAACTTCAATCATTCAAGTAATTAACATATATTCTAAATAATTGTGGCCTCAACACTGTTCTCTGTGGCACTCCACTAGTTACAGGTTTCCCATACGGAAAATACCCCATCTATTCCAATGCTCCAACTTCTCTTAGTTAGCCAAACCTCTGATCATTCTAATATACTATTCTCAACACCATGGGCTCCTTCCTTATTTAGTAGCCTAGTGGTAAAGATGATGGAGGACTCCTCAACCTGAAACCCATTTTCTGGAGTGTTTCTGACAAACCTGACTGCTGATCCTGTTCTGTTTGTGCATTTTATGAAGTTATTAATGGCCAACACCATGGGATATTCTCCCGCCCGGGAGTGGGCAGAATCCTGGTCTCTGTCAGTCCTCTGAGGCATTTCTTCCTTGGCCAGCTGTGAGGACATAGCAGTGATGTTCTCCTGACTCCAACCTAAATATCAGCATTCATCCTGGCAGAGGTTGCAAGAGACAACCTTGCTGGTGCATCCTATGAAGAATTTGTATCTTCTTAATCCAAGATAGAGAAACAACTTATGTCCAGAGAAGCTGCTCTTCTCATGGTGGGGATTGTCGGATGACCCCCATGTCTGCAGGAGACAAGAGAGAGAATAAGTTGCATATCAAACACCTTCTTCACTATCCTATCTACCTGTGAACCCACTTTCAAGGAACTACGAACCTGTACTCCAAGGTCTTTTTGTTCAGCAACACTCTCCAGGACCTTACCATTAAGTGTATAAGTCCTGCCCTGATTGGCTTTCCCAAAATGCAGCACTTCACATTTATCTAAATTAAATTCCATCTGCCATTCCTTGGCCCATTTGCCCATCTGATCAAGATCCCTTTGTACTCTGAGGTAACCTTCTTTGCTGTCCACTACACCTCCAATTTTAGTGTCATCTGCAAACTTAGTCTCTTAAATTGTGAGCTTGCATTTGCCACCTTGTGATCTAAAGGAATATTTCCAGAGTCTACAGCATTTTGAATGATGATCACCAATGCATCCACTACCTCTACAGCCATCCCTTTCAACAGTCTGGGAAGTAGATTATGTGGTAAATTATTTACCTACAATCCCATATATTTCTCTAGTTTTTTTTTATGAATGCTAATATCTTGCAGTTCTTCATTTACACTAGTTCCTTTATTTTCCATTATTTCTGGAAGGATTTTAGTATTTTTCTTAGATTTGTTACTTTCTTTGCCATTTCCTTATCCCCCATTATAAATTCTCCCACCTCTTATGGTTGTTTTTTTGCTACTTTTCTTTTTAAGTATCCGCAGAAGATTCTACAGTCTGTTTCTTATGTTTCTTACTAGTTTACTCTCACATTCTATTCTCCCTTTCTTAGATTTTTTTCCTTGGGCCTCCTTTACAGAATTTTAAAGTGCTTTCAATTTTCAGGCTTTTTGGCAACTTTGGCAACTTTGAACACCTCTTCCTTGACCTAAAGCAATGCTTGATTTCTTTTGTTAGCTACAGTATTCGTAGTTTACCTGGAGGTGGAGTTGGCCTAATCTTGGGGAATGAGTTGGCCACAGCAAAAGTAATAGCTTCTCTAATAGTCACAGAAAGATCAAGTACGGTCAAGGAGATAGAGCATTTGTAGGAAAAGATTCCAAGAATTTTTTCTTCATGTGCAGTGGCCTAAACAATGGCTGAACAAAGATAGATATCAAATGGGCAACACTGGCTGATATTTAGCTATCTGGAACATTCTGCGGGGATTTATATAACTTGAAGGAATTGCTCAATAAATCTTCTCTGATTGAGGCTCACAAAGCTAGCCTAGAGTACTGAAGTTGCACAATCAGCTCAACCCAAACATGAAACAGGAGGAATTCTAGAATACTATTATGTTAAAATATGAGATTCTGATAGGAAGTGGAAACCTTCTCAGTAACCTATAAAAGAAGAATGGACCATTGTTCACCAAATAATGATTCCACTCACGTATCCTCAAGAAATGTTAAAGACAATGTGTAGGGGTTCAGAAGACTGATGCACGTATTAGTCAACATTGTTACTGGCCAAGACTTAACAACGAAATGGGCAGCTTTGTAAAATGACTCATATGTTCCAAATTTTAGAAAACAGCAATCTGCAATCAAACTGGGACCTCAAATTTACAGAGATAACACGGTGTAGAGCTGGATGAACACAGCAGGCCAAGCAGCATCAGAGGAGCAGGAAAGCTGATGTTTCGGGTCGAGACCCTTCTTCAGAAAAAATTTAAATTTACAACCCACTTTTTGGGGAACCTTGTAGTAGGATGATGATAAAAGATGTAGGACTTATACGAAAGCAAGAGCAGGATACAATTATATCCTTACTATTATAAATATGGCATCTCAGATACAAAACAAATTGACTAGTAAATTTAAATTTAAAGATGTCTTATCAGTACATTAAGAACAAGAGGGTGGCTAATGAAAAGGTTGTGCCTATCAGACATGTACATGGAACTTGTATGTGGATGCAATGTGGACAGGTTTCTAGATGAGTATTGTGTCTCTGACTTCACCAAGGAGATCCAGACTTTCTACTCAAAAGAGAAGTAGTGTGAAATATTATAGAAAATATATATAATGAGAAGGGGAGTACTTGAGGATCTGATCTCCTTAAAGGTGGATCACCCAGGCCAATGAATTGCACCCTCGGCTATTAAGGGAACCCAGGAAGGAAATGTCGGACGCTCTGAGGATCGTTTTCCAACATATACAGATGAGGTACCAGAGGATTGAAGGTCCATGAACATTGTACCATAATTCAAAAAGAGAATGAGGAAAATAAAATAGTTATCCAAATGATTATCGGATAATCTGTACTTCTTTTAAAAAGCTTTAACTTTCGTGATGATTCTGGAAATAGCAGGACTTGACTTCCAGCATGCTACCCCAGTGAGTCATGACATAGGAAACAAAGGGTAATGTTTTCCTGATATTTTTGCGAGTGGAAAGCAGTTTCCAAGGCTGAGACTGCACTGACCTGGGTGTCAATCACAGACCAGGCTTGCATGGTACCAATCAGTGTACTAATGCATAATTTCTGATTCTGGAAGCTATTGACCCGCACGAGCTTTGGTGGTCTCAGAGTGAGGCATATGTCAAGCAATTAAGTTAGAGATTGTAGTTGAGTAAAATTCTGCTGATGGCAGACCGTGGATCATGGATGTCAAGTTTTGAGTTGATAGATTTGTTTTGAATAGAATGCAATTAAAATGGTGGCAGGTCTAGAATGCATTGCCTGACAGTGTGATGGAGCCAGTTTCAGTCAAAGTACGCATTTAAAAGGAAATCAGACTCTTAACCTAAATTGAAGAATGTGCAGGGTTACTGGGAGAGCAAAGATCATGGTGTTAAGTGAAATACTAATTCAGAGGGCTGGTGCAGACACCATTGGCTGAATAGTATCTTTCTGCACAGTAACAATTCATGTCCATTGTACAGGACTTACTTAAAGTACAGATAATACAGGGAACAGGTGATGGTTAATGCCCAGAGTGAGGAGATGATGCTGTGATTTTTTATTACATTACTACCTTTAATTACCTGAGCTTGGTAATTATTTGATTATCTACGCACATCTTTAACTTACCTATAAGTAAATGGGAGGAACAGTTGGAACTACAAAGTCAGAGCATGCAATGATTATGAGGGACAGGTAATGTCATTCGCATTTTTTAAATCAATGCTTATTTTCATCTAAGTGACTCACTTAAGCCTTTCACCTTGGTATTGTCACTGCTTGGATGAGTGCAGGTCAATGAAACTCAAGAAACCCAACACCAACTAGGCAAAATAATCTGTTTTATTGGCTCCCATCCATCACTTGAAACATTCATTCTCTCCACAACTGGTGTAAGAATGCAGCTTTTCTACAATTCTTATATTCTGAAAAATTGATCATATTGAACAAGCATATTTGGTATGCACTAGATTGTGAAGCTGCAGGTTTGGTGAATGATGGAATCTTAAAAGGCTAGTTGCTCACTAAAATCTAATTTTTCGTTACAGTTAACAATTAACTAGAAATTACAGTTTAAGATAAGAGATAATTTATTTTTCTTCCAGTCTTAAATAGGGATATACAGTGAACCCCAAATGAACTGAAAACAATATCCAAAACAATGCCTTAAACTGAGGCACGATTTCCAGTAAATTCATTCAAGCAGTTAGCTTAATCCACGGGTCTTCCAAGTAGTGTCTTTAAAAAATTTGTCCCAGCATCCTTGTGAAAAATGGTCGCCGAACTAGCTGAGGGATTGATCCCGTTTAGTGAAGACTGCAAGAAAATATGCCTTAACCGCTTTTCTCTCAAGACACTACTAACTTCTCCAACTTGATTAAATATTGGCAAGACAGTAGCAGATAGATTTCAGGTCGGTAAGCATGAGCTTGTCCATTTTGAACCAAAAATGGATAATTCCATGATTTTTTAAAAGACTAGAAACAACAAAAATCCAGAAAGAGCCCACACACATGAATCACTAAAAAAATAATTTTAACAGCATCATGGCCCATTGCAGCCCTGAGCATGGCAGCGGCTGGGGGCCTGGATTGGGACTTTGACAGTGAGGGATCAAGCCCAATGCAGGTAGAGCGAGCCCAACACAGCAGTGAGGGAGATGACCCGGCATCTGCAGTAGCGGTGAGAGCAGGCAGCCCAAGGTCTCCCAGAGAGTGGGTCAAAGCGGCAGATATCAAGCCCTTGTAGGGAGCCTGAGCCCAGCATGGCTAAGCACTTAAGAAAGACTGTTGAATTTCTAACTTTATTTCTTTACTTTTCTTTTTAATACTAAGAAGGATTTTAATATTTAACTTTCAACGTTATTTCTTTATTTTTCTACATTGCACCTGAGATTTTGTACCTCGGTACCTTTGTACTTAAGATGGAATGGTGGCACTTTTCACTGTACTCATGTTCGTCTGTACTTGAGTATACGTGACGATAAAATCTAATTCTACTCCTAACTTTTAAAAAAAGCTGCAAACATGTTCTTTATGCCTCGGTGGCTAGATACAGCAGAATGTTACTGGCATTCCATGGTTAGATTATAAAGAGAGATTACATAAACTATGTAATCCCTATGATAGTTAGAAGTCAGGATAGCTTAGGTTGATATGCAGTGCAATACCAAGGGAATGCTGAACTATTGGAGGTGTCATCTCTTGGGTATGATGTTAAGTCAAGGCCTTGTATATTCTCTCAGGCAGGTGCAAAACATCCCATGATACTATTTCGAAGGAGAGCAAAGGAATTACCCCTGGTGTCTGGCCTTCAACATAACTAACAAATCTAATTTTCTAGTCATTGTCAAAATGCTTTATGGCTGTAAAGTGCTTCAAGACACTACTACCTTCTCCGACTTGATTAAATATTGGCAAGACAGTAGCAGATAGGTTTCAGATCGGTAAGCATGAGCTTGTCCATTTTAAACCAAAAATGGATAATTCCATGATTTTTTAAAAGACTAGAAACAACAAAAATCCAGAAAGAGCCCACACACATGAATCACTAAAAAAATAATTTTAACAGCATTGTGGCTCATTGCAGCCCTGAGCATGGCAGCGGCTGGGGGCCTAGATTGGGACTTTGACAGTGAGGGATCAAGCGCAATGCGGGTAGAGCGAGCCCAACATAGTATAGATATGCAAGTCTTTCTTTTCTTTAGAAGGTTGAGGGATTATATAATATGTGTTTTTTTTTAGGATTTTGAAAAGACCTGACACAACAGATAAAGAAAAACTGCTCTCTCCTGGTCAGGGAATCTTGAACCATGGAGCATAACCATGAAATCGGAGCCAGGTCATTCAGGAAGAAAGTTAGAAAACACAAAACGGACTACAACATGGAACTCTAATCCATTAAAAGTAGTAGATGTTAACTGAATTAATAATTTAAATCTTTGATTGATAGATTTTTTTAGCCTATGGGATAGAGGGATATAGAGCCAAAATGGATGAATGGAGTCAGGATTTAAGAACTGATTAACACAGTTTGGAGCTGGAGGAACACATCGGGCCAGGCAGCATCAGAGGAGCAGGAAAGTTGACGTTTCGGGTCGGGACCCTTTCTGAAGAAGGGTCCCGACCTGAAACGTCAGCTTTCCTGCTCGTCTGATGCTGCCTGGCCTGCTGCGTTCCTCCAGCTCCACACTGTGTTACCTCAGACTCCAGCATCAGCAGTTCTTACTATCTCTTTAAGAACTGATCAGCCTGTTTCTGTTCCTCACTGCCTCAAGGGTTGTTTTTTTTTAATATTTCCTTTCCCCTGGGAATTAGCCATCATGATCATATAGCTTGTGAGGAAATAACAGCTCTTCATTCTTAATGCTTTAGGTAAATTTAGAAGTGACCACACCATTTATCTTTAAATAAGAAAGCATCAAGTATTCTGGAGAAGTTCTCTCCATTTCTCACCATTCATTAAAACATATAAGCATCACCAATGAGCCAGGATTGAATTTTACTTCCAGCAATTTCACTGTTGGCATGAGCAATACCACGGAGCTGACCCAAGAAAAGTGAAGAAAATTGAACAAAGAAATAAAGTAGAAGATCACAATAAACAACAGGTTAAAATAGCTCAGAAAGGAGCAGACAAGGAAGATGAACAGACAGAAAACAATCGGAAAAGTAATGGAAAGAATGTAAAACAGGAAAGGAATAGGAAAAAAAACCTGAGGCAGAAGAAAGATGAGAGATTAACGAAGAGGAGAGCTGAAAGGAAGTTTGAAAATGACAGAAAAACAGTTGAGAATATGAAGCCTGCTAAATTCTAAGATGAAGAAACTACTGTGAACAGTATGTATATGGATTTTCAAAGATTTTTTGATGAGATGGCATAAGCTTGCTGAAAAACAAGACTCCTAATATAAAGGTCAGGGAGGGGGGATAAGCAGTAAGAACGAACACAACAAACAATAGTTTGGATCCTAGAACATGACATTTCTCAGAATGGAGGGTTATAAACATTGAAGTACTAATAGGTCAGTGTTGGGATTATTGCTCTTCTCATTGTAAATAAATGAGCTAGGTTTTTGTTTAGAGATATGATAACATTTACATGTTACACAAAAATAGGCAGAATGGTTAACTTTGAAGTGGACTGTAAGTCACTTAAGGGAAATGGCCAAATACAGATCCAGCAGCTAAATATCCAACAATTTCCCCTCCCTGAAGGTTGCCCGAGAAATAACAAGAAGTTGATTTTCTCTCCAGGACTAACTACTCCATTATTTCCCCTTCTCAACACTTTTCTAACCATCTCCCTTATTTAATGGTGAAAAGGGGAAATAGTGTGGTGAGTTGGTCCTGGAGAGAAACACACCCCCTTCTCACCATCTCAGCTCACCAGCAACTCAGTCCCTTAAGCAGTCAATGTTAGGGCCTCAATTCAAAACATTCTTAATCACCTGCATTGCAACAGACAAGAAAGGTGGCAATTTGCAGGGAATCCATACAAATTGTCTGCTGGGCTGGGGGTTGCTTCTAATTGCCCCAATCTGGGTGTAATCATGTCATGGATAGTGGGTGGCCCCTGAAGGTTCCTCCCCTGTCCTTCTCTCTGATTCCCTGACACATATGTCTCCCCATTACTCCCACCTCATAACAATAATTTAAAAATGACCAAGCTTTTTGCCTTTGGATCCTCTGAGGAGTAGGCCTTGACCAGCCCACTTTAGGACCCAAAAGCTGACAACCGTTGAATGGCTGGCAGTTTGTCACCAGAATCGAAGCCTGTGATAAAGTGAGATACTTACCCTGACTCTGCCTACCAGCTCGTAACGAACGGGATTTACAGGCAATTGAGAGAGTTGTCTTGGCAGTGGTAGCGGCTCATTAATCGCTAGCTAACACACATGCCCCCACACTTAGAAAAAAAATGGAAAATCACTGTAGTGAGGGCCAGGTGGATCACGTTGAGTATGAAATCCTTGATTGGGGTTGTTGACCTGGGCTAATCAGGGAGCCCTGGTTGACAGATATAAACAGGAGATTCAGAGAGTGTTCTCACTGTAGATGGTCAGAGTCCATGTACTGTGCACGTGTAAATAAAGGGTGACTTGGTGACGGGATATTGGCTTCTGTGCAGTTACTTCAGCAGCGACTAGAGAAAACAGTATGGTCCTGAAGAAAATTCATTCGCAACAGTCGTCTTTGAGCTGGTTAAGCATTTCTGGCATCATGCCTTTATTTGGGAAGCTTGACTCATTTGATTCTGCTGTCGAAGACTAGGCCCAGTATGTCGGAAGAAGATGATTTTTTTTTCTAGGCAAATGCAACTGGGGCAGATGAAAAGCAAAGAGTAATCCTTCTGACTGCGTGCGGGCCTGCAGCATTTTCAATTATTAGCAGCTTAACTTTTCCTGAGGCACCAGATACTAAAACCTTTCAAGACTTAACTGACTTAGTTATTATTATTAACCCAAGCCTCCTCTAGTTCTGAGATGTCATTCGTTTTATTCGGCAGTACAAGAACCCATGGAACCCGTATCGGGATTTTTGACGAGATTAAAATGACTGACAGATTTTGGGTTAACCCTGAATGAGATGCTGAGACACCGTTTGGTATGTGGGGTTAATGATGTAGCCATTTAAAGCGCCTACTAGCCCAACTGGACTTCAAACATGCACTACAACTGGCACTGTCAGCTACAGGAGCATCCCAATGGAAGTGGACACCCTCACCTGTCTGACTGAGCATGGGGAACACCACTTGAGTGTAGACAATCACAGAGCCACACGCAGAGCATGTCCTGAGCTGAGGGACCCTGGTCAGCCCACAGCAGAAACCCACAACAAAACTGAGACTCAGCCAATTGGCTAAAGTGCTCTTCAGGATGCAGGCAGGCAAGCAATTTTAGCTGCTGCTGGGATGCGGACTCAAGATAGCAAAGGAGTCCTATGAGGCCTGTTGTGAATAAGAGAACTCACAGGCCAGTATGCAGAAAAGTGCGCACACTGGAAAATCTGCCTGCATGTGGTTTGGAACAATTAAATTGCTTAGCAACATCCAAATCAGAACCAGTCAAAATAAATATCTGATTAAATTGTCACCCTGGTTCTCATGGAGGTCGATACCCGCACAGCTGTATCAGTGTTTGCAGAGCCAGTCTTTAACAAGATTCACTCTGGACTCCAACCCTTAAGCTTGGACAAGACCTCAGCCAGCCTGAGAACCCAGGGAACCGTTACAGATTAATGGTATCAGAGATAGTAGGAACTGCAGATGCTGGAGAATCTGAGATTAATGGTACTTTGGTTCTGGTCTCCTATGAGAAACAGCTGGATCAGTTACCATTGATTGTACTAAAGGGCTCAGGCCCAAGCTTGATAGAGCAGAATTAATTGAGAAAGATTCATGTTGATTTGCTCAACCTTTTTCAATTAGAAAATGGCTGTTTGAGTGAAGTCCTAATTACATAGCCAGAAGTTTTTCGGGAAGGTCTAGGAACTATCAAGGAGCCAAGGCTACCCTGCATGTTGACCAGGAAACAATTCCGCAATTTCCAAGGCTCACCCAGTGACATTTGCCTGATGGGCAAAAATAAAGGCAGAGATCAGGAGCCTGGAAAGTGACAGAATGGTCATACCAGTACCGTTTGCACCGGTTATAACGATTGTGAAGCCTGTCAGCTCAGTTTGCCTTTGTGGGGATTTTAAGCAAACAGTAAACCGTTTCTTGCAACTGGATAAATACCCGATCCCTTGCATGGAGGACTTGTACTCAATACTGGAGCGGATGGGATGGGGCTTGGGGCTGTCCTTCACAAAACTGGACATGAGCCATGTGTACCTAGAACTGCGACTAGAAGAGAGACCCTAGAAGTATGCCACAATCAATAGCCATAAGGGATTGTGCTAATATACAAGTCTGCCACTTAGGGTATCATCAGCCTGTACCCTTTTCCTGCGGATGATGGAGAATATTTTACAAGGTATATCCAAGGTTGCCATTTATCTGGATGACATGCTAATAACCGGGGAGACCAATAAAGAGCATGTGGAGAACTTGGACGTACTGCTTAAACATTTCTCCCAAGCAGGCATACAACTTAGAAGGAAAAGATATATGTTCCAGGCATCCCAAGTGACCTACTTGGGCTACACAGTCAATAAGACTGGGTCACACGCATTGGAAAGTAAAGTGAGTGCAATCAAAAGTGTCCAGGCTCCCACACCAGAGCTTAGGTCTTTCCTTGGATTGGTGAATTATTACTGGAAATACATACATAACCTGCCTCCACTTTAGTACCCTTACACCTCCTAATGAAAAAGGGTCAGCCTTGGAAATGATCGCGTAGCCAAGAAATAGCCTTTGGGGAAGTGAAAAAGCAGATGTTGGCCCAGTACGATCCCAGGCAAGAAGTGATGCTGACATGCAATGCCTCCCTGTATGGTAATGAGGTAGTGTTGGCTTACTGGTGGCCCAAAGGCCTAATAGCGTATGGTTCCCAGACTTTGGCTGATGCTGAACACAAATACACCCAGGTAGAGAAGGAAGGTTTGGCAGTCATCTTTGGTGTGATAAAGTTCTGCCAATATCTTTACGGACATAAATTTGTAATAATAACAGACCACAAACCCATGCTCAGGCTCAATACTAAACTGTCCTGGTTCCTGTTTGATTATAAGAGCACTCCTCATGCAACTACAGGGATAGCTGTAAAGGGCACAAGACTCCGCACCAGGTTAAACCTGCCATGCCCGGACCTGGGGAGGGGAGAGTGAAATGGCAACAGGAACACCAATGCCAGCCATATGCGTCCTCTAAGTGAGAGGGACAGTTTACTTCAGGGGACCAAGTTTGGTGTCAACACCACAGAAATGGCCTTATATGGGTGTGAGACGAGGTTGACGTGAGATCAGGTCCTATGATATTCAAGTTTAGGTAGGTGAGGCGGTCCTGAATGTACATGTGGATCACCTGAAAGCTGCCACCTCGCAAATGGGGCAGGAGTAAAACATACCTGGCCCCTCAGAATAGCTAGAAAGCCTGTGAGAAACTGTGGGTTCTCCCCCTCTGTCTAGCATCAAAGAAACCAGGGTCCAAGATGGGTGCAGCCTCAATACTGTTACCTGGCGCAAGAAATGGGCTAGGATCCGGTACACATCGCCCATGTCTGAGTCAGAGTCGGAGGAACCGGAACTGGAGCAAAAAGGCCTAGGAGAGGTTATAAAAGAAAAACAACAGGCCGATATCCCTGGATTTAGGTGGGGGAGGAATTTAGTGATTGGAATGAAGGTCAAGTGTATCTCATCGAGTATGAGATCCTTGATTGGGACCATTAACTTGGGTCAATCAGGGAGCCCTGGCTGACAGATATAAACTGGAGATTCAGAGAGTCTCTTCATTCTAGGGACTGGCTCTGACCTGGCTGGTCAGAGTCCATATACTGTGCACATGTAAATAAAGGGTGACTTGATGACAGGATACCAGCCTCTGTGCAGTTATTTCAATCACGCTGCTGGTTTCTATCATGTGAGCATTGTATCACTTCTTCATTGTCCTCACAAATGATCCCTGATAATTTGGCCACTGACATAATAGGCTCTGCCATTCACCTCTTCAAATATAATTGGAATGGAATGGGATTTTTTCAGACACGTTCTTCGGAACTCTAGTCCAAAGTGAAAAATTCTGCAAGTTGTATTGTAAACTAGTTTTATTTAATCATTTGGATAAGGAAAGCCATTAAATCACAAGAAAGGTTTTTTTTACATTTTAATACCTTTCTAATTTTTGTTTCCATTTTAATCTCTTCTCCAGACATTAAAACTGGCTCCAGGGTCTTGTGTATTTCCATGTATATTACAGGAAAACAAATGCCACCTGAACTCTCAACAAAATCTTCTTTGTTTACAATAAGTAGAGGATTTATTTCCCACGTATTTAATAAAAGGAAGGTAATCATCTCCATAAATCCATACGTTCATATTATGTGAGCTTGGCAGTATTAAATAAAACCACCTGGGAGCCAACATGCTATAAATATAAAAAGCATACAGACCTTTGGTTAAAACCAAAGGTAAAACATTTTCGGCATCTACCTTTTGTCAAAGCTGTGAAGAAAGTGCAAAGGAGATTCACTGAAGTAAATGCCAGTGATGACAGACTTCAGTTTTAAAGACAAATTAAATAAAATGGCTGTCTTCACTGAAACAGAGAATTTAGATTAGATATGATAGGGTGCTGAGAATATGTGAAACTACAATGATGTAAATAGGGAAAAATTGTTTCCACTGGTTGGTGAGTCAGTAACTAGAGAACACAAATTAAAGGTCAGCACAAAGAGCAAAGGAAGAGGTTAGGGGAGTTTTTTTTCATACGTACTGATGGTTACTAAGATATGGAATGTCTGATCATAAGTAATGGGGGAGGAAGTATCCAAAATAACTTTTAAAAAAGGGATATTAATTTTTATTCTTTCACGGGATGAAGGCATCATTAGCAAGGTCAGCATTTATTGGCCATTCCAAATTGCTTTTGAGAAGATGGCAGCATGCTACCTTTTTGAGTCTTTGGATTCCATGTGCTGTGCAAGCTGTTAATGAGGGAGTTCTAGAATTTTGATCCACACACATTAAAGGAACTGCAACATAGTTCCAAGTCAGTATGTTGCATGGCTTGGACAGGAATCTTCCAAGTATGCAGGGGCGTGCTTCCCTTGTCCTATCAGATGGTAGAAGTCCTGGATTTGGAAGGTGCTGCCAAAGGAGCTTTCCTGAATTGCTGTAGCACATTTTATAAATAATGTCACTGCTTCACAGCACACATCGGTTGTGGAGAGTGTGAATGTTGAGATTGGTGGATGAAGTAAGCTGCTTTGTTTTGGATGGAGTCGAGTTTCTTGAGGGTTGTTGGAGTCACACTTTTCCAGTTAAGTGGAGAAAATTCCATCACAAGCCTAATTTGCGCTATGATGGTAGACAGGCTTTGGGGAGTCTGGAGGTAATTTACTCAGCTCAAAATTTTTAGCTTCTAAACAGCAGTATGTATGTGGTTCTTCCAATTCCGTTTCTGGTGAATGGTAAGCTCCAGGAAGTTCATTGTGAGTGATTCATTGATGATAATGCCATTAAATGTCAAGGGGAGAGGGTTAGATTCTCTCTAGTTTAAGATGGCACTTATACATGAATGTAATTTTCTGACCAAGCCTGAATGTTGCCCAGCTCTTGCCACATATGGAACAGAAATGCTTCAGTATCTGAGGAATTATGAATGATATTGAACACTTTGCAATCATCAGCAATCATCCACCTCTGGTCTTATGACTGAAAGAAGGTCACTCATGAAGCAGCTGAATTGATTGGGCCTAGAAAGCTACCCTGAGGAGCTCCTACCGCAATGTTCTGGATCTTAGATTATTATCTTTCAATAATCATAACTGTCTTCCTTTTAAATGACATAGGGTAAGGAAAGGGCATTAGCAAAAGGAGGTGCTCTTTTAAAGAAATAATATAGAGGCAATGCACCATTTGGTAAAAGGATTGGGATTGGGACTGATAGAAGAATCCTTTTCGAGAGGCAGCATGGGGCAGGACGCAAAAAGTCTCCACTGATGCTGAAAAATGATATTGGGCACCTCTCACCACACAGTTTCACTCTTGTTCCTTGTGAACAAAAGAGCTAGCAGTATCATGAAAAAATGCATATTGTTCAGTGATCTTTTCCAGAAATCCATGGCTCTGCTTCAAACCATGGGCAGAACAGGAGGGAGAATCATCCTGCAAAAAGGAAGAGAGAAAGACCAAAGTAGAAAAATAATGAAGAAGAAAGAAAGCAAAGAGGTGTGGAAAACAAGAAACATTTAAAGCTAGCAAGAGAGAAGTAGAGAAGGAAGTTACAAGAAAATTAAGGGAGATAATAATATTAGAGAACAAGAAAGAGCAATTAGAAAAAGGAAGAGAACTAGCCATATCTGGATGAGCTGGCCACACCTTCCAGTGTTCATTGGTTTCTCAAATTTTTATCAGATATGCAGTGGTAGTGAGATATGAAATGAGTTTGGCAGATACCTGACTAAAAAACACTCAAAGCGTTGTTTTCTTTAATGTGTGTAGAACATATTCATAGCTACAACAGAAAGTATCCCACGGTACAACATTGGAGCTTGTCAGATCTGTCTGCCAGCCGAAAGAGCTCTTAATCTGGAGCCAGCTACTGCAGGTATGTCCAACAGATTGTGATGTACAGAGGGTTCACTGTTTGGCATAAGTTTCTCGGAAAATGATATTCCCCATTGTTTCTTTGTATTCTGTGCTATTCTGAAGGCATTGATGAATAGATTCACTAACAGCAAGAGTTACTCATGATATATTGAGTTGGAAAGGAATATTTCTACCCACTCTTTTAATGTTTCTACCCATCTCTCCCACACCTTCCTTTCACAGGCGATGATATGCTCTCCTGCTTCCAGCTTAGCAGGCTATCCTCCAAGAGGAGCAAAAGACAATACAAACGACCTATTATTTGTTTTGATGTCTGCGCACCTCCGCATACAAAGAGGCACCTGAGCGTGGCTCAGGTTTACCCACAGTACTCTGACGATTGAGAATCAGTGGAATGTGAGGTTGGGGGAGCTGCACCACCCTGTGTCCTGTGGGTAGCGTGCTGAGGGATTGAGGGGGATTTGTAAGTTGAGTGGCGATGGGCTGAGAGGGGTGTCATTTCTATGAGCTGTGTGCTAGGGTGGTGAGAGGGATGTTTGCTCTCCAAACAAGGAGGTGATTGGGTATGAGGGATATCTGTTCTATGGCTGATATCGTGTGAAGTGTTTCTGCATGGTGGGTGAGGATGTATTGGGGTGCAAAGGGAATCTACTCTGGGAGTAATACACTGATTGCATGAAGGGTGGTGGGATATGAAGGGTTTCTCCTTTGTGCTTGAGGGGATGTGAAGGGTGTCTGCCCTGTGCATGAGTGGTTAGTAGGGTGTGATGCATGTCAACTTTGTGAACCTGAGGGTGAGGAGATAGTGGGTTTCCCATGTCTGCTGTATAGAATTCCTTAATACTTACAGAACTATCACAGTGTCTCTGTGCAGCTCACAGACAGGGCACTGTGTATGTTGTAAGAGATTCCAACCTTGAAATATTATACAAAGAACAATAAGGTTACACCTTGGGGAATAATAAAATAATCTGAGATTTTTCACCTTCAGGAGTCTGATTAAAGAGTGATCTGGTTAATGGAGGGGCTAATCAAAATGCTGTCAGATGAACAAAAGGTCCATTTAAAATGGATCTCATTAAAGGGGCATCTAAGTAAAAAGCCTGATTAATTAAGGGGACAGTTAAAGTAGAATCTCATTTATTGAGGGGGCACTGGTTATTGAGGGGTCTCATTAAAGTGTAGTCTCGCTGGATAAAGGCATGAGGAGGGGTTTTGTGGTGGTAGTGTCCCTACTTCTGGACCAAAAGGGTCTGGGTTGAAGACCCACCTTCTCTCAAGACATGTCATAACTTACCTGAACAGGTTGATTAAAAGCAAATAAAGGCATGTGAGGGATTTAGAGCACATGTTATTTGTGCCAAGGACATAGGACAGGAGGACACAAGTGGTGAAATTGGGATAGATACTATGAATTATTCCCATACATGAAAAGTGACAGAGTGGAATCACATTAAGGCAGTGTATTCCAGAGCTAATTTCTTTTAATTATAACTAGTACTGCTTGCTTTCAATTAGTGTTTTGCATAAATTTCCGGCTTGTAAAGTTTTACATTTCTTCCAGTCTTGGATGGAGATAATCACACACTCTGTTGAAGAGAAAATGAGATCAGCTAATTAAATAATTTCCCAATTGAGGGCTCTTGTGGCAGAGTGGTGGTGTCTGTACCTCTGAGCCAGGAGACCCTGGGTTCAAGTCTTACCAGCTCTGTAGGTATATGATAACACCTCTAAACAGGTTGGTTAGGAAATACAAATAACTTCCCAAAACTAGATTTATAGTTGTCAGATAGCAGACATATCTAAAGTTCAGTATTATAAATAAAGCTTTAGTGCAGTGAAACAGAATGGAATCTTGGTGAGCAAGATGCTTTTTGTTTTCCCTTATTTGGCATTTGTTAGTCTCCAGAAGATCAGGAATTGAAAAGTTGCAAAATAGGGCTCAGCTTGGAAAACAAAATCAAAGTGGCATTACAGAGAATTGTGTTTTTGTTTTTATTTGATCTTTAGTTTATACTTATTAGTACAAAAGTAATCTTAATACAACTTGACAATGTGCAGTATCCATTCTGAAGCATGTGTGGAAACATGGACTCTTCTCAAGACCTAGACGAACACATGCGGGGTCACTGATGTATCTGTGAGGCTGTGGGCACATTGAATAATACATTCAGGGAGATAGTCAGGTTAGGGGAATATAGGCAAATAGGGAATGGGTGACTGATAGATGGAAGTGTGGCTAGAAAGATGGTGTGGAGGGAGGTCTCCAAATTCCTGGAGCACTGCACTGACAGCATTGAATTGGTGCAGAAAGAAGATGTCTCGGAAGATTCAAGGACAGAATTGCTTTGGCTACAGCTAAAGAACAAGAGCAATGTAACCATACTGCTCGGTGTTGTCTTTAGGATATCAACTACTGGGAAGGATGCAGAAGAACAAATCTGTATGCAAATTGCAGATGCAAACAATTATAATGGAGACTTTAATATTCAAATATAGACTGGAACAGGGGTAATGTTAAGAGCAGAGAGAGGCTAGATTGTGGATTGTGTATAACAGTTTTCTATAGCAGTTATGTATCAAGTCCAAAAGGAAAGGAGGCACTTCTAGACCTGGTTCATGCGAATGAGGTAGGCCAAGTAGATCACATGCCATTGGGAGCATATTGGGGAAAGTTATCATTGTATCATGAAGTTTAGGATGATGGTGGACAAGGACAATGGACAATCCATAGTAAGATTAACTAACGAGGGGAAAAGCCATCTTCAAAGGGGCAAGAACAGAGCTGAGCCAAATAAACTGCAGCAAAGCGTTGGCTGGAAAACTGTAATTGAACAATGGGTTCCCCTCAAAGAATGGATGGTTTGGGTACAGTTAAGGTCTATACCCTTGAAAGAGAAAATTATGGCAAAAACACCCACACCTTCTTGCATGAAGGAGGAGATATACGTGAAAATAAACAAGAAAAAGTATGCTTATGTCAGGTGTCAGGGAGAAAATACAATTTAGAACCAAGCTGAATGCTTTAATTATTCATTTTTCCACCTCTTTGCTGAACATTTTGCAATGAAGGATTAGGGATGAAATCTGACAGCTGACATAAAGGGAATCCCAAACTCTTCCATAGGCACATAAATAGTAAAAGGAAGAGTAGAACAGGTTAGGGACCCAAAAGGATTTTAACACACGGAGGCAGGGCAGATGGCTAAAGTACTAAATGAATACTTTACATGTCTCAATCAAGGAGGCAGATGCTCCCCAGGCCATGTTGGCAGAGGCAGAAACTCAGTCACCAGGAGGGTTCAAAATCGATGAGGTGGTGTTAGATAAGCTGCTGGTTCTTTGAGCTGAAAAGATGGCAGAACCAGTCGAGATGCACCAGGAATTCAGTGGAAATTGCAGAGGCACTGATTATAAATTTCATCTTCCCTGGACTTGGAGATGTTGAGGTCAGAGAATTGCAAACATTATGCCGTTGTTCAAACAGGTTGTAAGGATAAGTCCAGAATTACAGACTAGTCAGTTCAACTTTGATCATGAGGAACCTCTAGAAACAATAATTTGGGATAGAATTAATAGTCACATTAACAAATGTGAATTAACTGGGGAACAACCAGTGCGGATTTCTAGAGGGCAAATCATTTTAAACTATCTTGCTGCAGCTTTTACAAGATATAACAGAGAGCTGATAAGTCTAATGAGATTAAAAAGAGTTGTTTCCCCTTGTGAGAGAATCTAGGACTGGACAGCATAATCTCCAAATAGGCGGTGCCTACATAAAATAGATGAGAAGGAATTTATTCAAAGAGTAATGAACCTGTGGAATTCTTTACTGTTAAGGCTGGGTCAATTCAAAGTAGACATAGACACATTATTAATCAGTACAGTCACAGAGTCATAGAGATGTACAGCACGGAAACAGACCCTTCGGTCCAACTTATCCATGCCGACCAGATTTCCTAAATTAAACTAGTTCCATTTGCCAGCATTTGGCCCATATCCCTTTAAACCCTTCCTATTCATATACCCATCCAGATGCCTTTTAAATGTTGTAATTGTACCAGCCTCTACCACATCCTCTAGCAGTTCATTCCATACATGCATCACCCTCTGTGTGAAAAAGTTGCCCCTTAGGTCCCTTTTAAATCTTTCTACTCTCACCTTAAACCTATGCCGTCTAATTTTGGATTCTGCCATCCTGGGGAAATGACCTTGCCTATTCACCCTATCCATGCCCCTCATGATTTTATAAACCTCTATAAGGTCACCCCTCAGCCTCTGACACTCCAGGGAGAGTAGCCCCAGCCTATTCACCTTGCCTCTATAGCTCAAACTCTCCAACCCTGGCAACATCCTTGTAAATCTTTTCTGAACCTTTTCAAGTTTAACCGCATCTTTCCTATAGCAGTAAAGGAATCAAGGTATATGAGGAAAAGGCAGAGTGGAGTTGAGGATTATCAGATCAGCCATGATCTCATTGAATGGTGGAGCAGACTTGAAGGGCTGAAGGTCCTAACTGCTCCTATATTGCGTGGACTTATGGTAATGCAGTTGAAATGGTGTATACTGACCTGAAGAAGGCATTTGATATTGTGCCACACAACAGGCTTGAGAAAGGTTGTAATTTATGGAATCAAAGGGAGGGTAGCAACATGGATACAAACTTGGCTTAGTGAATGGAAATAAAGTGTAATTGTTTATGAGAGAAGAAGGGTCCAGATCTGAAACGTCAGCTTTCCTGCTCCTCTGATGCTGCTTGGCCTGCTGTATTCATCCAGCTCTACACCTTGTTATCTGTCATTGTTTATGGATATTTTGCAAGCTGGAGGAAGATTTGATGGAGCTCCCCAGGGGTTGATTTTGAGATCTTTTAGTTTTGTTTCTAATTGATGATCTAGGTGGTCCAAAACTGGAAAGCATTGAAAATTATCAGGAGGGCAGTATAGAACTTTAAAGGGACATTGACAAGTTGGTGGAGTGGTGAGGTGGCAGATGAAG